CAAAAACATGGGATCATCCTAAATCTTCGAGTGCTGTATGTGACAGGCTTAAGCAAAGCAGAATGGATTTCTACAATCACACTCCCGAACTGGACTTGCACCCCACTGCGCTGTGTACCTGGTTATTGTGTCAATGACTCTGTGTGGAGTCTTCAAGAGGAGTTCCATGTACCCCATTGCTTTGTGGGTCAGTACGTTGAGTCAAACGTTAGAGGTCTGGCACCTCCAACAAAATACCTCTGCCAGAATGTGCAGCTGGTGAGTAGCAGCTGACCTGTGGACCGCATTGACAGTACTCTCTATTCTTCTTTCTCGTCTATTGAGCTAGAGACTGCCGCTAGTCTCGCAGATTCTGCCGTCGGTACATGTAAGTCATTCCTGGAAGAAGGGGCCTCATTTCGCATTGATTCGTTTAACTTCCGTACCCTAAGACAGGTCGGCCAACAGGCAGTACTAACTTGCGCTCTCTTGGTATTGATGTGTCCTGTGTCTCCGAAACTCACAAAGGTGACAGCGTCAAGAAGTATTTTCGACTCCCTGGTTTCGAATCTGCCTACAATGACTAACTCTTCAGGTCCCTGGCTATATTGCGTCAATAGCTCGAGGTATTCATGGTATCGGTATCGCACTTAGCAGACATCCTGAAAGCAATCCACTCGACTGGATACCAGTGAATAGCTGCGTGTGTGCTGTTCAACCTCGAAGCTCTATTGGGGTTGATCAAGGCAGTCTGAAGACAAGTTGTATTTTAATCGACTCCGTTTATGCCCCCTACTGACTACAGTTCCAAGAACATGAAAGTCGATTTCTGTGGCCATGGTTCATCGCTTTCCCTGTACGGTGAAAAATACTGACATCATAATTGTAGCTAACAACTTGAACGCCCAATTGGTTCGCTTTTGGGACATTGAACAACACTTGGGACGCCGCTTCGGAATCGATGAATGCCAAAATGACAACAGCGATCAATTCCTGCAACTAAGTGCCGACCAGCCCTGCTTCTTGACACAAACATTCATATCTCGTCATTCGGCGCCCATTGGATTCCTTCATGATCTGAACCAGGCTTGACCATAATGCCATCAGCTATAGCTAGCACATATCAGCCAAAGTCTGCCGGTCAATTTGGGGCACCTGTCGGGATTCCGACCATAGTCTAGTAGGGAAATGCCTGGACCTCACTCTTCATGCTTCATAGAAGTGTCCAACGTTTTAACTCCTCACTTGTAAGCTGGCCTCATCGTCCGAAACTTATAAATATCACCATCAACTGACATAATCGATGTCAGTGGTTAGTGATGTTGGTAAACTGAAAGTTGACTAGAATCGTCGCAATGGTACTATGGGGAAGGCTTTTGCCTCCTGCCTTATATGAAAATTGAATGAAGATCTGAGGCATTTTGATCGAAACAGGAAAGCAGGTTCCGTTGGGCACGGTGATTCAGCATGCTCGGAACGATCTGAAACGACTCAGACTAGGAAACCTAGAAAGGACCAATTAACCAAGTAGTCAAAAAAACACGAGACCATAGGTGAACAATTATTTTCGATTATTCTCTTCAGACCATTACAATCATATTTAAGGGAAAAATAATGAACACGACACAGCACTTGTCCAAACGTGTGAAGGAGCACTGCCCGCGCTGGTTGCGTTAAGGAGGAACTGGGGACATTAGCAGCGCCGTTTTGGCACATATTGTCGACACGGGGCACCAAGTCGATCTAAAGCGTGCCTTCAGGATAATTTACAGGGTCCCCCAGCATCAATCAAGAGGTTTGCGCCTCCGTTCGCTCGCGACTGCTGAATCTATCTGCATTCGATTGCTTCAACCTTCATTATGATCGCAAAAGAAGTTGCTCCATGCGTTACAGCTTCCCTGGCCAGTTAGAACGAACGACGCTGAGATCGATTGCCACAGATCAAGCTCGGTACCATGCAATCGACCTATCAGGTCAAAGGTCAACTTTTAGGCTCCCTCAATGAACCGCTAATTACTTATGTAATTCGAGTCAATGAGTCGATTTCAGTTCATTATTTTACCCTTAAATATGATTGTAATGGTCTGAAGAGAATCATCAAAAACAATTGTTTACCTATGGTCTCGTGTTCTTTTGACTCTAAATGGGAATTTTCAACTTGCTTAACCAAGTAGTCTTTGAATGCACGGGGAACGTTGGTGCGTGACCGTGGTCCGTTAGATGAAGAAATCAAGCAGTATTTCGTACAGCAGAGTTCTGTTCTAGCTCATCCGCAACACAGGTCTAAGAAAACGCGCAGCGTGACAACAGCTGGGAAAGATGGTTGGTTGATTCATTCTCATCCTCGTCGACTAGACCGTTGGGCGGAACCCATTGAAAAGTAGCTCAGCAGGCTTACTTAGGCACTTTAGTTTGTTGAGTCACTTGATCCCACGTCAGAAGTTGATGTTCCACCCACCTTAGATTCGACAGGAGGTTGCCGTGTTGGAAGGAAATAAGACTCACTCATCTTTACGAAAAGATGAAGGTGAATCTTTGTTGTTTGGACTTACTGCTCTATTCATCAGGATTTGAGACACTGAAGATGTGCCTTCAGACCGGCGACTGCCGACTGTCTTACCCATCTTCAAATAGGATCCATGGACTTTGTTCGAAAAGCATCGTGGCATTAACCTTACTTCCATTACCGACAAACTTCGCATTGTCATCCTGCGCCGAACGAAACAACCAAAACCAGACTACCCTCCTCCGTCGTCGTAGTTCCATCGACTACACGTTCACTACTCGTCAAAAGTTAGAGCATTGACACACTCAGAAGGGCAGACTATGGTGGTTTTCCTTAATCTGTAAAGTGAGTTCGACTCTGTTAATCGTGCAAATTTGTGCTGCTGCCTAGCATTGAAAGCGGTGCCAGCAAAGTTCTATATTCTGAAGTCTCTCTACCGTGATTTCCGTGCTCGAGTAAGGGTCTGTGGGAAGCTGTGCTTTGAGTTCCGTATGACAAGTGAGGTTCTCTGGAGTCGACTTATTTCTCCTTTCTCTTCAAGCTTGTGATCGAAATGATCGTAAGTAACTCAATTCTTTCAGCATTTTTCGGGGTGGAAATTCTACCTTGTGACCGTCTGACCAACCTTAAGTATGCGAACGACATAGCTCTCCTTGAGTCTGACGCGGTGGCTATGCAGACACCACTGGATAAACTGTACTTAGCGCTGCACGCTTCCTTATGTGTTTTCCACCTTTGCAATACCTTGTTACAAGATTGAACCGATACCCCACGGGTTCTAGCTATCTGTGAGCAGCCAATGAAAGTGGTGAATCGATTCACTTTACCATGGTAGATGGGTAACCTCTGATGGTCAAATCACTGTGGTTACTTCACGTATCAATAAGGGGCCTGTGGCTTTCCAGAGACTCAAACATCTATGGAGACAGCGGGATAGCAGCCGGTCAGTGAAAGGTTGGATGCATGACGCTTCGGTGAGGCCGGTCTTACTGTACGAATCAGAGACCTGGCAACTTCGTAGTGAACACATTAATCGTTTGGTCGTGTCTGATCACCGGTGTTTGCAGAGTATTGTTCACATCTGGTGGGAATACGGGGTGAGTTGAACTAAGGACTACCGGTTGGATTTTGAGCGAGTAGGTCATATCCTCTATATGCCAGTTAACCCTCTTCCTCGGCCTGCAGTAAACGTCATCGCTGCACCTATTTGGGCGAAATTGATGACGCGATATAAAGGTATGAAGCAATTGACTGAGAAGCTTAATGAGTCTGATGCGTGCCTTCTACACGGATGAGGGCCCCGGGTGTTCCACACCAGTGACTGGTGACTCTATCAGGCATGGCGCAGTTGCCCTGTCAGTGTTACTGCTGCATTCGGATTTTCGCATCTAGCTGTTCATTTTCATCCCATACTGATTAGTTTATCGCACTTCATCGTTCAGTACATTATTTGTGCTTTGTTTGTGCTCAACCCCATTCTCTTATCGTTGCTATTTATAGATATGCTGAAGATGGGAGTCTTGGCAATTAAATCCACCGCAATTCGGTGCCCGGATCATAGTTGTTCAACTGAACACCGGCCACAGTAAATGATGTTCCGCCCCCCTCACGAGTGCATAAACAAGTTATATCCTACGTGCGCTAATCATCTTGAAAGAACTCAAACAGCATTCGCGTAATGAAATTCATCGAACATACCCACCTAGCACACTAACTCCTGAGCCAGCATGAATAGACCATTGTGTTCTACAGTGATTGGTACAACTATCAGACATATGAAAACAACGTATCTTGGTTGAATAAGGCATGCGTTCAGTGTACCAAATGACTGTAGAGTACGGAGCGTTGTAAATGCATTAGCAGTCACCCAAAGTATTCGCCGGTTCAAGAAATAGTGGTTTATTGGCATTCAGCGTCCCTATAAGATGGTGACGTTGCTTGTAGATCAGGGTTTTGGACGGTAGGGCTTTCGGTGCCCCATCGTAAGACTAGTTAAAGCACGCAGGTGATCAACCCAGGATCCAGGACATGTGGCCTCATCGTACCGCGTCAACTGATGTTTCGCAAGCGTCTCGTCTGTAGAGTCACTGCACCTTGTGCTTGGTGCAGAGTAATTTTGCTCCTATGAAGCATAGTGAGTAAATCCATGTGATAAAATTAGTCAAATGCTACCAGGCAGTCAGTCAACATATTTCCTGTTACCCGGATAATGGTGTACTGTTATAATAGCAAAACAAATCACCTGCTGAGGCTTACGGTATAATGTTGCAAAATCGGCGGGCCCAGAAAGCCAATATGAAAACATAAGCCAAGATCATTCTTATTTCCAACTGCGCGAGTATACCTTCAACCCTATTCCCGCGTAAAGGCATAAGCACACATCATGGTATTACTATCAGCCACGAGTAAAGGACGATGACATCGAGATATAATTCGTTCGTTGATTAGTTGACGGAAATAAATCAACTAAAATTAGATAGGGGATACATAAGGCATTTTCTACTAAATAACATACCCCATTCCAGAACCTGTAGAGGCCGGATCGACGCTAAAAGTAGATGAGTTTGCTTCTTCTGGTCTGATATGTGAGGGAATGTTCGTACGATATGGCAACTTCAATGACTCCTGCACAGCTCTCATCCCCTCCTGCATTCGATGCTGCATTAGTCTAGCGTACGTTGTAATATCTCGGTGTTCGACGTTTGTTGTATGCTTTTCGCTGATGACGGAGAGGCCATAGTGTCGAGGAAGAGATGATATACCAACAGGTTGACGTGCATCGTTAGATGATGGGGTAAGACCAACTGGTGCAAGTACAACATCCCCGTCGGATATGTAACCGCAGCTGGGCAATTCATTGCTCAAATACGATCGAATACTTGAATCGACCACTGTCTTCTCTACTACTTTAGAAGCCACTGCAGTTGACATAGACGGGGACACCGAATTGCCGTGCTGTCGTCTCACCAAGTGTGACACGCGACGTTCCTGGTGGTTGTTACAATCAGTGACCGTGGGAGAAGAGGCCATGGACTCAAAGCTCGAATTCAAAGCACCGCTACTGATGCTATTAGTTTGCGTTTTCGGGTCTGTGTGCCGCGCCAAAGTTTGAATCTTCCCTGCGTGGCTTGGTGGGGTGTCAGTTAAGGTGGAATCGCCATTCTCATAACCTATCAGGCGAGCTTGACAACTCACCAGTCGGATATCTGCGTTATTGGCATTTGAGTCAGTCGTAAGGAAGGGCTTTCCCTGCCTGGTACTTGGAAAACGCTTCTTCAGAGCAACATAAAGTTCGTGCGCTTTTTGTCTTTGACCAACTTGTTGTGCCTCCATTTGTGAACGGGAAGTTGAGATGTGTCGGTCCGGCTGAGTGGTTTTTGCAAGCGACATGATGTCAGATCCGGAGGGGACTGAAGCCAAGCATGCCTGGATGGAGTGTGATCCTGTGGTTCTTGTGTTTGATCGTGCAGATAGAGAATCTAAGGTAGGGACCAGAGAATTCAGCTAATTACGAAGAGCAATGCGTAGGTTTCTAGAATTGTGGGCTCTAGACCAAGAGTACAATCTTAAAAACGCCGAGTTCGAGGGGAAATGACAATGGTATCTCAACCAAGAAAGGCAACAGAGATAGCCAGTGAGATGACGTCGTCATTTCGTGCATTTTTATCAATCATATGCATTTAAAGAATGACAAGCCCAGGAAGAAAAAATTCATGTGAGATCCATTGGTGGTCGATTGGTGGGCGATTGTTGCGTTGCACGCTAACAAGGTAGGCACGGCTGTCAGAACTGGAGCTCAAAACTGTTAGCTGTATATAACGTCTGCATACTTTCCATTAGATAGACTCATAACACTCGTCCGAATCACTGAGGTCAAAGAAACAATAGAGCTAAAGGTTAAACCTTGTCTACATCCTCACTTCTACTGTCGTGCTAAGCTTCTGTCAGTGGATTGAGTGTAGATGAAGCCAAGAAGAGTGTCGATTAGATACCGTAGCTTGAACCATTTTGTCCACGGCGTTCCCCAGTCTCGTGGACACAGTCAGAAGCGGCGGCGCAACGTTCGCTACTCTCCCCATGCTACCAAAAGCAGCAAGCTACAAACTATGCGATTCAAGTATAACGAAAGTAATGTTTCAAGCTGGGCAGATTTCACTTGGGCTACTGCAACACTGGCAGTCGATTCGGAACAGACTGCCAACCGAGGTCTGTTTGAAGGTGGAGGACGCTGCAGTCACTCGATTTATAGTGCCATCTCAGCAGGAAAACAGATTTTGGACTCCATTCGAACCGCACGCTAGTAGTATGCTCAAAACTATTAAGGAGATTCCCATCCAATGCCGTAGTCACACCTTATGAACTCCGCAAAATGAGTTGCCAGTGGGGCTATGTACCATACCGCCGAGTCCAGCTACCAGCCACTCACCGGTAACAATGCTAAATACTAGCTAGCAGCTAACCATAGAACGGTTGGCACAATCTCTCTTGCGAACCATTGTTCTCTCGATTCACTGCATCAGACCGAATAACTTTCCTGCATGTACACCAGTGCTCAAAGGCTTCTCAGCAGACTTTCCGAACTTCGGATGCATCAGGCAACCAACGCCTGTGGTCTTATTTTACCAACACATAGTCGCTTGCGTTTAGAAATTACGGATGCCAGGATAGCGATACAGGGTATGTCACTGTTCCTTAACAACGCTTCCAGCTGAGGAAGAAGCCTTATTTTATACTACTGCAGTAGCTTACAATTTTAACCACGGAATGATCCGGAGACGCGGGTCACCGATTCTCTACAGCGCCGTCTACGTCTCAGATGAAGTGAAAACTGTTTCATAGTATTCGTTTATCTTCCCACTGTACACCTCGGAAATGGATTCCCGTCTGATATTAGCTTACTCCAAACTTACAGCCATGTTCTTATCCAAGATGAATTTAACTTACACAACCCTGAAGCCCCGGTATCCCGCGGCGGAAAATTAAAGACCGAACTGCGAGCATTCACCGAAAATATTCCACTGTACAATCACATTGCCCCACCCGCTAGATACAGGATTGCTAACAAAACACCGGTTTCAGACCTTACATTTGCCACTCAGGAATTCAGGATCATTATCAGACACCCCATTTAGAGTAAGCAATCATGTTCTTCTACTTTGCAACTTTGTTGCCTTTCATAGCAGAAACCCCACACTAACCCAATCCGCACAATCACACGTTACATCCCGACAAATCTGGTTTCGATGACCGATTGGGACTTCTTGAAAGGCGACTCCCAAAAAGCTCCTGGATTCAGTTTGTTGGCAGTTTCAGCAATCTGATCATAACTGCTTCAGAAACTATTCGTTTTAATTCCATCAACTTATCGTCGTTCACCAGAAGCAGAACTGAAAAATTAATGGCACTAAGGACTACAACTTAGCACGCTCACATAACTACTATTGGTGCCGAAACCTACAGAGGCTATGTGACTCAGTGCAACCTATGTACTACGCTTGCCCGCGAGAACAAAGTAGCTCAACAAAAATACCTGGCTTGTAAACTTTTCAAAAGAGCTATCATATGAGCATGTTAACATAATTCGACAAGTGAAGCAAGGTATCCATCCACTTAACACGACAATTGGAGTGGCGAACAAGGCTGAAGAAAGAGCCAATGCACTGCAAGTGCAGTATGCCCCGAGCTCCCGAGACATCCGTCACGGTTGCATACTCCCACCCATTGTTCTAATTTCAGGGCTTATTCACATCACGTTTACTACCATAAAGGTTTGGAGGAAAACGCTCTGGCTGCGCACGTACTATTCGCCTGGAATCAATGACATTCACCTGACGGCGCTGAACGTAACAGCAGCAACGCTGGCCGAACCACTATCCCACTGCCTTTACATGTGTTTCGATAAACTAATACTACCTAGTATGTAGAAATATGGTAAATTCTGCCAACATATGAAAGCGGCAATTGGTTGAAATCCACAGACCGTCGACCAGTGGTCGTCCCTCCTATACTCTCAAATGTGTTGGAGACGACCATCATTGAGTGTTTAGTCGACCAGTTAGCACGATCAATGTATAGCGCTAGAGCAGCACACCTTCTTTCGGGACTGTCCATACACCAACAAAAGTTTGTGGAAAGGTTCATGCACTACTAACCGATTGACTACACACAGAAGTTTGACGGAAGCGCAAACAGAGCGAAAGTGAGTGGACTTTATCTACATTTTTCAGTGCCCTCAAATGCATGGACCACTGCATTTTGTCCCAGGAGCTAAAAGTTCTAAGGAGTCGAAGACTTGGAGTTCTCTGCAGCATCGGCAACTGCATGCTAGAATCCTAAGTGCACTGTCCGATCAGATTAGTGTAGAATTGGAGTTCCACAAGGATCGGTACTGGGTCCGCGTCCGTTTCTTGTGTTAATTAGCAAGCCTACGTCTCTGAGTACTTACTGTTTGTTGAGGAGTTTAAGATGCTGTGAGCAATTAGCGAGGAAGGGCATCCCGATGCACTTCATCGAGATCTAGACAGCGCGTATGAGTAGTCACGCAAGCATCCGCTCCAGTTTAATTCGGTCATATGTAAGGTGATCCACGTTCCTCATCGGTCAAATTTCATGTACGAGGTTGGAGACTATAACCTGTAAACAGTAACTCAGGAGCGCAAACTTGGGGTACTAATCCAGGCCAAGCTGGGATGCACGGAACAATCTGAGAAGGTTTCAAAAATGGGAATCAAAAGGTCGATACGTTGGGTAGGACATTCGGGCGATTCGATCCATCTCTCTGTCTACAGATGCCTAAATTATACGTGCGGTCTCACGTGGAACATGCTAACCAATCCCGCCAAGCCTGGTAAGAGCAGAATATCGCAGGGTTCGAAGCTCCACAGAAAACAAACACCAAGCGCGATAAAGGATCATTCCACCTTCCTTTGCAACCTATCCTGAAAACCTTAAGACTGTTCAGCAGTCACTATCAGCACTTCTGCGGCGACCTATTGATGACCCATTGGAATCGGAGGAACCCCACCCACGTATGTGGTCACGTGCTGCAAAGCAGTCACAACACGAACATGAGACGTCAATAATTCATCTGGCCACGCAATACGGAAGGCCAGAAGTTCGCTGGGTGTTAATCTCTTTGTGTACTCAAGCTAAGGAACGCCCTCCCAAATTACATTGTCTATGCCCATACCTTATCTTCATTTAAAAGGCATCTTGACTTTGTATCAGCTCGCCCACATAATGAAATAAAGCCCGTGCACATCAGGAGATAACATAACGAGAAAACGGTGTGTTTACCAGGCTTTCCCTGCACAATAGAGACAGGCTTTTCTATGCATGCCACAGACTAAAATCTTTGGGAAGTGCACCAAAATGCTTTTCGTTTTATCATCGTGTTTTCTTGTAGCATATTGTGACTGAAATTGTAACAGTCACACGGACATGTTAAGCTTTTGTGCACGTAATACACCATTGTTCCATCGTTAAATGGGCAGACATTCGAAACTCAGTCACTATGATGTAAGAAAATGCTCTGTATATGCCGTTGAAATGCACTATGGCATGTGGTGTAACTATAAAGGCAAAAACGTTGCATACACCATCCATTTTCGTCCTTAAACAATGATTTTATATGGGTTAGAAAGCATTGATTTACAAGCTCCGATGAATGGTCAAACGGATTATCAAAAAGGTAAAATTAAACGCTGTTCGTAATACTAAGATTTAAAAAAATAATGGACCTATCGTTTGGAATACAGTAGTCCCGCACTCCGTGTAGCTTCACAGCCTCAATAGGCAACAAGCGAAAATCCAAGGAGTAAGGGAGAGATGTTGATAAGTAAAAAATGATTTGGATTGTGCAAAATCAAGTATGCCATTATCAAGTTCACAAAATCATCCGCTAAATACCCCCAAAACGTTTCAGCCTCTGATCGTTTGGTAGAATGCGCATTTCAGTGATGTATTTGGAAGCCCGACCTTGACACTGCCCCAGTGCAGCGAGGCTGCGATTCAGCTTTGGCTACCTGGCTTGGATTGCGCATTCGACAAGGGGGCGAACATATGCACTGTGCATTTGTCGGAAAATAGAGATGTCTATCTCTTCGAACCTCCATCATAACTGATCGACGTGTTGGTTACCAGATTCTGATGCCTTTTCATATTGTCTTGAACAATCCAAGTTATCCTGAACCAGCACGAACAGATCGAGTTTGACTGAAGTGCGTTGCAGTACTTGCGTTCCAAATCTGTATGAGTAGATGCCCTGGTGTCGTATGGAGAATACCTTGCATCTGCTCACCTTGAGCGGAAGCATATCTGAGTTGACCACTGATTTACATCTTTAGGTCATAATGCAGCAAATTCTGATCGGCATCTGCCTGAAGCTTGCATCATATCCCGATACCGTCCGCAGACAGTAGGAAACGTAATGCTTTTGCCTAAGCAAGCGCATTAACAAATCAAAAGCTATCATGGCCCAATACCAGAGCTTCGAGGCACACCATATTCGACCTGTTTGGTGTCAGATAGCAAGCTTCGATCTTTGACCACTAACTGCTATTGAATGAGAAAGATGGTGATGGATCTAAAGAGATCACCGATACCGCAATACTGGAGCTTTGGAAGGAGAATCCAATGATCTCCCTCAACTAAACGCATCCGAAACGCTTTCAAATTCCTCGTTAAGGAAATCATGTTTCGCCATAAATCTCCCAAGATGGCTCATAAACCTATCAAATTGCATCCACTGGGTGCGAATTCTCCCAACATATTTGTCCTGTTTGCCGAGTGGTCAAGCCCAAAACAGCTCATAATGTAACAGATGGGCAGACATAGTGGGATGCTATCGGCTGCTTTGGGATTGGTCAATCAACGAACAGTATATTTTGTGGCATTCGCGTCCGTCGGATGCAACGTGATACCGTTAAGCACCATCTTGATAGATCAATGGGGGAACAGAATTTCGGTATTCGGAACTTGACAGCTTTATGAATATATTTGAATGAGAAAAGGTACTGAACAGCGATAAGCAATCTACAGCCCGCGAGCCGAATCCAGACCGCCGACTGTACTTAAATTTGCTCGACAGAGCGTATGGAACACGAGACTTTGCAATACAATTTACAATTGGCACTGTGTCGAGTTGCAGGTGAGCATACAGTGTTTGCATACGGCTGTGAGCCAATTCATCTTTGTCAAATATGACACCGTTCTAGTGTGCTATCAGTGACCTTCCAGCACTGGAACATTGACGTGAGTGGTCACGCATGAAGCCCATCCTTCCGTGTTCTCCACTGTATTTCCACTTAGCTCACACCTCTATATATCACAATTTTCGTTTAATCGGGCCTATTATTTCTCTTGTCGCATAAAACGTCACATTTTGAGAAGCAGTTTGTTTGCACAGGCGCCACTTTGAAGCTAAATTTGCTGCCTATTTGAGGCGAATTACAAGTTGTTGATACGAAATTGCACTGAATAAACTTTTGAGGTTCATACTTTGCGGCATCTCTAAGTTCAATTAAATGGTACCGTTATCCAGTTCCAGACCAGCTTGTTAAATTGACCCTGATGAAAACGCTTGGGTCAATTCTTCCAGGCACGATGCCGTTGATATATATATATAGGTTGCGAACTTGTTTAAATGTTTGTCACGCAGGGTTATCGACTCATGGAACGCACTACCCAGCGAAGTAGTATTAGCACCAACGGTGAAGGAGTTTGAACATCGACTCGAATTTAAGAAGCTTCTAGACAAACACTTTGCAGGCAAAATATAAAGTGCGGAACGATAAATAATAGGTTGATGTCCAAGTGCGACAATTGATGCAGCTACACAGAGCATGCTCTCCTCGCTGCTTCAAATCAGTATCAGTATCGGTATCGACGCCCTTGGGTTCCAGTTGCAGACCTTTCCGTTTGGTTCTTAACTTCTTCATCTATTTCCTTGGCTTCTCACATTTATTACTATTATTGTCTTAACCACACATTCTCCTCTGTACTACAATTACCACTATTTTGTTTTTGTTGATTCCCTTCTCTTAACCTTTATTCTATTCACGTGGCCGGTACAGTGGGGACTGCTAGTGCAGGCCGCGTGGGCATTGATTGGTTGACCGTTGTGTGATTCGTGTGTATTGATTTGGCTCCTCTCGGCTTCAAATCGCTCCCGCGAACTCCATCCTGGTTCAACGACGCATTGAAGAAGGAACACACATGGGAATTCTCCTACCGTTCCTGTCCAACTTGAACCTGAATTTGAACTTTAATCTATTGCCGAAGGTAGTTATGGAAGTCATGTGCACGTTTGACCAATCATTGTTCCAGCAAAGACCCGTAGTTCGCTGTATTTCGTCGTTTTACTGGAATTTTTAATATTTCTGCAATTCCATCTTTTCTCGGTCAGACCCTATTATTGCACCCTTCGCTAAGGCAATTAGGAAAAGAAAAGCAGACATCAAGTTTCGCATCCCCGTTGTCTTTCACTCAGTGTTTTCGTTCTGACTTGAAGAAGCAGTTGCTCACCTGATAAGCATTTCCCGGTGACCCTTCACAGCCCCCGAAATGTATACGGCATTTAGCTTGCTCTAATTCCCAAGCAAGCATCCTGAACAGAGATGGAGGTTACACAGAAAAAGCAGGGGATCGAATGCCAAAATGCATGTTCATGTATTTGGCACATTATTCGAAGCAATTCGCATTGCCATTAACTCACTTCAATGATAGGCGCCTACGACAAAAACAAAGGGCTGGTGCTGCCATTTTGTGTTAGCGGCCGAGATGTAAACTGGCTTACTAATGTGCCTTGGTAACTAAATCAAGCAAGAGGGAGGAAATACTTACGTCAAGTTGCATGATGTTGAGTTCACGGCATTGTCAGCGTAGGCAGAAACTGCCCATGAAACAGCTGGTCTGATAATTGTTGTGGTTAGTCCGCGATGGACATGGAAGCAAAGTGTAGTAATGATAGTTGCTACGAGCCACATTTCCACGATCATGACATGGCCCAGTAAATTGAACGGTAGCAAGCAAACAAGCAAAATTGCTGATGTAGTTTGTCGCGGTCCGCTTTCAATGACGCCGATTCTCACACATCTGAAAAAGGTGCCAACAGCCGTTTCGAACTTTGGGTCTCGTCAGTGATGCGTTTTCCTCCGTCCACTGTGGGGTTCCAACCCCATGACTTCCAGATACCAGCAGCTTGTGCCGCTAAGCCAAGGGTGACGGCGGCGCACCTGCATGAGCGAGAATTGACTACGATATGGCTCAGTGGTACAAGGTGTTGGCATCCGGAACCCATGGGGTCGGCACCCTGCAGGGAACCGAGGAACACGCACCACTGACGAGACAAAGCAAGTCGAAATAGCCGTCTGGATCCTTTCCAAACGTGTGAGAAACTGCGCGACCTAGAAGGACTGCGATGAACTACATCAGAACTTAGACTTAACTCCCCACTACTCACTAATAATTACAAACCCATCCGTAAAACCCAAAATGCTGTATCGTACACAGTCGCTATACGGAAAGTCGTCGTTTCTGTGGACGACCACTGTCCTCTGCACAGTTCGTAACTTGCATGGCAATGGAGGGTGAGCCGAAACGAAAGTACATGATTGCGTCTCATGGAGAACTGGTAAACCTCCGTAGCGTAAAGCTTTTAGGAAGGCCACAAGCAGGCTTCTCACATTTTGCTATGACCATTTCCTCAAGAGGGGGATGAATGTCAAAAGTCCCAGCTTGAAGGAACCACTTTGTCGCACAATACACAACATAAAACTACTGGTTCGTCGACAAGCAATTCACTAACGCATTTCATGAGTCACGGTAGTGTCTTTAGTTCCGATTCATTGTTTTCTTCCAATCAAGCCAATTTGACATGGTCTCCAGTGAAGATGAAAATCGCCTCCAAGTTTTATTCGGATTATTCAAGAAGAGTTGGTATACGGGTAGAAACATCTATCACAATGCACTGTCTGCGAAAGCTGGCTGAATAACGATCTGTTTACCCATTCCAGACGTTGAGTAGTCTGACTTGAAATGAGAAGGAAAGAATACTTAAGCGCGCCTAAATCTAAGTTAGAGCAACTCGTTGCAACTACAAGTTAGTTAAGATGGATGGGAGCTGTAAAGGAGGACGAGTAAATAAAGAAGGAAAGAGAAGACCGTAGAATGAGTTCTGTGTGAAGAAGATGCACCTTAAATTCACACCTCGAAAGCTTGCGTAATTTTGATTTTACCCAACCCTAGTCCTTGGCTCCTTACAGCAATCGGAGAGGCTGCTGGAGATCGAGAATGCAAGTCACCTCGGTATCTACCGGAAGACCGGATTAGGGAATAAAGGATGTTGTTTATCACCATAACAAGCTAGACACTAATGATTACGGTTCAGTGTACATCAGCTTCGAATTAGTGGCATTTTATTGGCCAGGATCTACTTGGCATACCACAAGTTGCACTTGGTTTACTGGTAACATCTGGGACTACTCACCGTTTGCGACAACCATTGAAGCTCGAGCTCAATACTGTTAAAACTGAGGTTACGACCTAGAAAGGAAGATGGTCTCTCATGTTTGTCCTGCAGAATGACAGTTAACTTCTATAAGAAGGATTGTGTGAGTGAGTTTGTTTGACATGTGCGATATGAGAAGTGGTCTAGCCCATCGAAAGGTATCAATCGGTGTTGGTCAGCGAGGTGTAAATGTGCGAAAAAAAACTATGCATCAGTCGTAGTTTTCTTCGCCATACTTTTTGGCCTGTAGACGAGTTAACTGTTCCTTTATTGATCGCAATATGACGTCAAAGGTGTCCTGCTCTTATCTAAGTAATCCAATTCCGGGACAACACATTCAAACAACCTAATCCTCAAATACCACCCACCTTTTGAGGTCATGTTTGAAGTCCCCTTGTCTTGCACTTGAGCGATTGTCTTCGACGTCAACTTTGGTGATAAGAGCAACTTTCGCGGTGAGTGTCTCGATTGCCTTGGCGATCCAACTGAGTCTTCGGACCGCGGACCACGATTGGCAAATGCGATCTTCTCTGATGTTCTACTTGCCAGTAGCGAGTGTCCACGGGTTGGAGGAGTTGGCTGTGAAATTGGACAATAAGACACGGGTGGGACAAATGGCGATGGTGATATCATTTTGGAGGTAAGCGTGGTCATCTCATTGGGTCTCCATGTGGACGACTGCCTTTCTATGTAAAGGTTCAGGGGGTTTGGATTTCCGGGCTGTGCAGATAATGCACCCGCAGTTTTCGAGAGCCCGGTCTCAGCCTCCGACCTGGAGGCACCAGTGCCAAATATCGTGGGGTAGATTGCAATTTGAGGGTACTTTAAAGGTAAAGGGAATCGAAAACGGAAAAGCATTAATAAAACGAAGTTGCTGCTTTTTCCTAATTGTTTTCGGTAGACCAGATACAGCTACATGGGTTCAGGATGACTTTTGGCCCGCTTCAACTTTACCAACAAAAAGTAAGACATCAACATTGAAATAACCGAACTCGAGGGAGAATAACTGGAGATGGCATTGCACCTTGCAGCCTACGGCGAACTATGGTCACTGAGCTGGTGTGACTTCTGTCCAAATATTAAGCCAAACCAAACAGCACACACAGATATAAATACTGAATTCTTTCCCATAAGAAAGCAAGTTAACATCCCAAATGCTTGATTACGCACATAAAAGGACCCTGCTATACCTGAACAGAGTTAGCGGTATGCCGCAGGGGAGCTGCAGCTGAGGGATTCATACTAAAGCTGCTCTGTCCATATGTCATCGCGAAATTCCACGATGCCGAGTTCGCAGCTCTGGATTGAGGAAGAGTGGTTTGTGCTAAATCCTTCCTCGAAAACGGCGCTGTCATCGTCCATTGTGACGGCGGAACCACTGAAGCGTTGACAGTCCGATTCCAGTAGACGGGGGAGCCTGGACAGGTGTTTGACGGAGCGAAGGGATACGGAACAGAACTATGAAGGTTGGAGGAATCCGTTGTCTGATTAACACCACCTTTGCATCGCGTGGGGAACTGTGCGACAGTAGAGGTTATTTGAGAGGTCTCGTTGGGAATCGCTTGAGATAGGGTCTTTGGCATGGGGATAGCGGACGGGACGTGCGTAGTGGCAAACGGTCTGAATGCAAGTAAGCCAACACCACAGGAGTCGCGTTGTTCGAATGAAAACCTTGATGGGTCAGCAAGAACGCGGGGTGGACTGTGGTCTAGATCCCCGTCACTGAATGCGAACTTCCCTGCCGGATTTGGGGGAAGATTATGGGGATGACCCTCCGATGGCGAATTGGGATCGCTCGGACTACCCAGCTGTGAAGCTTTTTTGTTTTCGATATCTGTAAAAGTTAGAGACGATGAGTCGTGAACCCCTGTAGTGCTCAAAAGTTTAGTTGAAATATGGAAATAGTCGAAATAAATTGATAATGTCTGGTCCTCACGCCAGACGTTGCCTGGCTGTCTAGTCGAACTGTCCCTTCATCCTCACCCGTAAGTAATTCGAGTGCAAGAGGTTGTTTTGATGTCCACTGTACTCGAGCTGATTGTCGCCGGCGGTGGCGCCATCGCTGTGCCACATAGTGTAAGTGACCGGTTCCTAGCGCGCTGTCTCCTACATTTTTGGTGCAAATAGCTCCTTGTAAGTCATCATTCCTGGTTATCACTAGGGCTAAGATCCACTCTATGGCTAAATAATCTGACAATTGGGATTCAACAGTGCGTGTTGTCTTATGAAAATCGTCCCTAAACATTTTCTATGTGAAGCGGTCAGGCTGATGCTTCATTACTAGAAATTGCCGCGTTTAAAGTTGCAAAATACACCGGTCGGAGCATTTGGCATCCACAAAATCGGTTTTCACGAGAATTGATTGGTTTCAAATTTCAATTTGACAAAAAGCAACTGGTATGTCTAGTTGTGTAGCCTCGGGCAACAAAGCACCGAGGTCAGTCGGCTTTCTTTATTAACAGAGAAAGGAGGAATATAAGACAGATGACAATACTTTTAACATGAATCTAAGTTAGGTAAATGTTTATCACCTGATGTGTCTAACGTCGAATGCACACCTCCGGCTTGAAATTCACATACTAAGTTAGTAGTACGACGCGCCAGCATTGGGTAGTTGTCAGTGAAAACACCGCTAGAGCCAAAAGCATACAATATTTTAACTAGGTATAAACCGAAACTGTTTACGGAAAAAGATACTGCATAGTACCATGGACGCAAATAAGCTCCTCTCTGGCGAATGTTTCCCCAGTGATAGATGCGACTTCGACTTAGTTCCTTTAAAAACAGAATCACAACTGAGATATGGCTTCAAAGTTTAGGCAAACGGTAGGTATTTAACTGGAACTGTATGCCCCGGTGGTAAAATAACCCCCTAGACCAACCGCCTGGTTTAGCACCACAAATAGTAGTTTATTCAGTTATAAAGGTAAACAGTTAAAATAGCAATCTGCCCAGCTATATAAAAACTCCGGACATTGCGATTCCATGTCTGGCATGAGACTGAGACTGAGATTGTATTTAAGAGCAAGTAGAAAAGTTGCTATAAAACTCTATCGAATTATGAAAAACCAAAAACATATAGTTGTAAATCGTCAGCGGCAGTGTTTGGTCAGTTAATCGTTTATCCTTGTTCGGTTAGGAATTTGTATTGGTGTCATTATTCCCGGATATACGATGTATGTGCATCGTTTCATAAAAGCACAGGGCTCCGAAATATTCGTCGATGCGTGTTGTAAAACACTTCACTGAATCGGCCTCTAATAATCCTTCTGGTAGTGTGTTGCATAAGTTTACGATTATTCGTTCTACACAAAGCTGACGTGATACTTTGTTCATGCAGGGCACCCTGAGTTTGTAACGGTGTCCTCGGATGTTGCAGGGTTCCCGCAGGTGAAATATTGGCCGCACTATGGGGAAGTGATTCAAATGTAGTACTCGATGGGTCATAATAAGGCCAATTCATACTTGGCGGTAGGATAGTGAGTAGAGTCCGAAACTTACACACCGTTTTTCATACGGAAGCTTTCGTAGACTCGGTATCTATCTAGTTGCGATACGCTGTATTTTCTCCAGCTTTTCAGTTTCCCACTGGGTTATCGGATAGTAAGCTGGGGTACCGTATTCAAGGAGTGGCCTAATGAGCGAGGTGAATAGACGAAGGACGGTTTCTTCGGACCATGTGGAGAAACTGCGTCTTAATGCCCAAAGCATACGAAGTCCCGCACGGTACAGTTTCTCTGTATTTTCTAGTGATCTCATATCATGTCGCGAGAGCACACCTAAGTCTCTGATAGATGTGTTAGGGTAGAGCAACTGGCCGTCCAAAGTGCAAGCTCGAGTGGTTGGACGTCTGGTGATATTGATGAATTCCGACTTGATTGCGCTAAGTGGAAGTTGCAGTTCAGTGGACCACGTTGACAGTCGATCTAAGTCATGCTGGAGGCGAGCGCAGTCGTCCTGGCTCTCAATGATCCTCCAGATTTCAAAGCATCTGCAAACAGGGCACATGATGACTGGAACTGCTGCGGAAGATCGTTGATATGAATAAGAAATAATACTGGCCCAAGTACAGTTGCTTGAAGCACACCACTAGTCGATGGGAACCAGTCTGTCAGGTAGTCATTGACCTATACTCTAAACTTTCGTCCCACAATAAACTCGTGTAACCACTGAAGTAACGTGCCCCCTATTCCGTATGTCCTCAGTCTACCAAGGAGTACCTCGTGGTTCACTCTGTCAAACGCCTTACTAAAGTCGATGTACATCACGTCAACATCCTTTTGTTCATTGAGAGTTCGTACCCACTGGTGGTTTGCGTACATCAAGTTGGTGATGCAGGATCTCCCTCTTGTAAAGCCGTCTTGCACTGGTGTTAATACGTCCATCGATTCGAAGAACGACAGCAGACACTTTTTTACAACCTTCTCGAGAACTTTGGATAATACCGAAGTCAAACAAATCGGTCTATAGTTCTCGATTTTACTCGGATCACCACCCTTGGGAAGCGGTCTCACTATGGAGCACTTCCAGTCGTTCGAGACAGATGCTTCAGAGACTGATTTATTGAATAGGTTTGTCACGGCTAGTAAGATGGCATTCGATAGGGACTTGAGTATTAGTGGTGAAGTCCGTCTGGTCCGGGGGGCTTTGCACCATCGAGGTTGACGAGTAGCTGATACACTTCGACTGCATCACATTGTAAGCAAGATTTGCGCAACCTGTGCCGGTACTGGAACAGCCGCCAGTTAACTAAAAAATACGGTGAGGAAGTGCATAGCCAAGGCGTCCGCGCGCTCCGCGCTTGAAATGAGCGTCTGTCCTCCCAATCTCTTTAAGACTGGTAGGTCACCCCCAGGTTTCAGTTGACATTTCAAGTAGGCAAATATGCTTTTGGGTGAAGTTGTGGCCGAGGATGCTAGCTCCACTTCGAAGTGCCGGCGTTTCTTGATCTTTGCAGCGTTACATAAGTTACGCTGCTACTTGTACACAGTGTAATCTTCATCACAACCCGAGCCTAGCTATCTATCTATCCCAAAGTTTGTGACATCGTCGCGCTAACTGTCTAAACTCTGTATCAAACCAATGCGGTTTGACATGTCCGATTTTTGAATAATTCAGGGGTACGAACCGAGTACATAACGAGTTAAGCTTCCCCTTCATTAATGACCAACAGGCCTCAAGTGACGCATCCTGTGGTAGTGTCCAATCAGTCTGACTTGTGGCTTGGACGAGCCCGTTGAAGTCCGTCTTCCAATAGTTGAATGTCGGCTTTCGTTAGTTTTAATATGGTAACGACAGTTCTACGCTTGCCACAAGGGAGCGGTGGTCACTGTTCTCCAGAGGTTCGATGATTCTGATCTCGTTCAACTTCTGCTCGCAGCTCGTAAACATTAGGTCCAGACAAGATGCCGAGTGCGGAGTTACGGGCGTCGGTTGAATGACATGTTGCGTTGCCCCATTTCAGTAGTCATTTTAGCGAATTGAGCCTCAACGTTGCCATGACCGGGAAGAAGTCGAACATCTGGCCAAATTATCTTAGGTAAATTTAGATCCCCCATCAGTAAGAACTGAGGGCGGCTCATGTGTCTTTGTACATGTGGTAGCAAATCACAACGGTTTAATGGGCTACGGTAGATAACAGCCACAACTAGTTCTACGCGTCTGTGGCGGAATGTGCACCACAATTGCTCGCATAAACTATCCTCGCTCCGATAGGTACTGATAAGTTTGCCAGATAGTGACGATTTTATGTACAACAGAACACCACCGTGAGCCTTTGCTTTTCGGTCACATCGGAAACAAGAGTATCCTGACAACGCGACTTCTTGTGGTATGACATCGGTGTTCAGCCAAGTCTCTGCAAGTCCTAAAACGTCCGGCCGCTCCGAGACAGAGAAGCGGCACAGTTCGTCACATTTGTTCATTAGAATGCACACGTTGGCGAATGCCACACGGAGATCCTTGGAGGTACTGCGGGTCGTGCCGGGAGGTTGAGCAACCGGTTGATACAGGTTCGTACACCCTTCTTGATCACCCGAAAATTTACCATTTGTAAGTCAGTCTCACCTTCCTCTGTACGGCGTTTGAGCTCAATGACCGCAGTCTTCAAACGATCCCTGTCTTCGGGTTCCAAGTCTCGGAGGATGTGAACTTTAATGTCCTTCAGCCTTGACAGACGAGACAGTAGGAGTTGCTGCATATTGGCATTTGCAAAGGGGATTCTCAGAGGTCGACATGACAGGTTAATTTTCTGGCCAAGTCGGATTACTTGTTTAATCGTCACACTGTCTTCGCCCACATCCAAGAGTACACTTTATCTGTCCTTTTATTCATGCCAATTCCAGCACCATTTAGAGAGTCCGGTAGATCTTGGGGAGCTCATCACCGCATCAGTCACTGTGCTCTCATAGATGTCACGAGGAAGTAGTTTGTCCCTAGCTAGAGTGAAATGAAGCGCCAATTGGACTGCAACAAATATATCATTCCGGTTGGTTTGTGTCTCCCACAATTGTACAAGCTTTACCGACATTTGAATATCTTATGAAAATACGTAACTGCATGAAACAATTGGAAAATACACTGTGAGTTTCCATACCCAAGGCCGTGCTGGTTCATTTTCTATTCACTGAAGGCTGTCACAAACGGCTGTTGAGCGGGAGCAATGAAGACAGCAACACAATGGCACAATCCATCTTCCGTGTCGACCATGGTTATCCCAACGTTGTAAGAGAAAATGCTGTATGTGAGTTTACAAAGTGTCTCCAGAAAAATCAGTTCACATACGGGAAAACATGTCAATGGAAACCATTTTTTAGGACGTACAATGGGGCTTTG